CATTCCTGTCCTGAGACAGACTTCTTGATCATAAGAACTGATGACAAGTATTTAATTTGATTTGTCTTAAAAGATAACTTTATTAAAACACTATTTTGTCATTTAGTTACTACGTTCGGGAAGTGAATGGTCTGTACACTGTTGGCCAACAGTTGCCACTCATGAAAGTACCGAATCCTAAGTCTACAGTTCAAAGCGGACAATATTACCCATTCATCCGGCAGTTCACAGAGGTTTGTAATACTAGAGGTTTCGATTAATTATCTGTTTGTTAATTATTTTAATTGTTTTTTATAAATAAACAGATGTTTATTCAGCGGTTCTTTGACGGAAGAAAAACTGTTAAGAGTTTAGACACAGAGTTAAGCAAAGCGTTCAAAAATTTAAGCCGAAATTTTATCGACAAAACAATCAATAGATTTACAAATCGCTGCTCAGATCGTATGCTATTTGACAAATAATGTGTTGAAATTATGTCTAAAATTCTAATTTTATTTACAGGTTTTCAATTGAAAAGTTTAATACCGTTTGACATACGAAATAGGAATCTGTTATCGCCGGAGAACTGTTGCGCGTATTATACGGCCGCCACCGCCGCCCATAATCTTAAGCAAAGGGGTTTTGGTGACCGCCTATACCTTAATCGTGATAAGAAAAGTGTGGATCCATTGGATGAGTTGGCGATCGCGCCCTGGAATACAACCGAAGCCTATATCGCATCAATCAATCAGAAGAAATATTTGACAGTTTGCGAGTACAACGAAGACGGCTCTCTCCTCTTTGTCAATCAGTCCTTCAAAGATATTCGAGTACTTAAATGATCAACAATTATGTTATATTTTACTTATCAACAAATGTATTATTTTAGGATCAAATGCCAACCTTCAGGAAGTGTTTCCCAATGTCTGATCGATCGCTCAAACTATTAACACTCAAAAGAGCTCACGAATGGCTAACTAACTATGGATTGGCCACTGAAAGGGTATTTGTTTTGTAGTGTTTGCGTGAATTGCGAGTAATTAATTGATTACAACTTTAGGTGAAGAAACTGAAGAATGTCTCGGAATGCGGTTCAATGATTAAGAAACTGTCCGATAAATTGCGAGCCATAGGTATGTCTTTGTAGTGGAGTCGAGTCGAGTGCTGTTGAACTAAACAATGATTTATTGCAGGCGTGAGGCAAGGGATGACCAAAACGGCGTCCGCTGAACAGCACTATAAGATTGAGTGTCAGAAAGTATTTGATTTACACACCAGTTATTACTCTTCCAACGATACGTACAGTACGGATGAGGAGGAAGACGAAGAGGAGGACGACAGTGACTCTGAGTTCGAGGACATGGGCCGAGACTTAGAGGCAATACTGTTGGGCGAGAAGACTATCGACGAGATAGAGCACGAGCGCGAAGAACAGATCCGCAAAGATCTCATGAAGAGTCTAAAGGAGGGCAAAGATCTGAAGGACAAGAAGAGCGACACCACTCACAAGGAGTCGCTTAAAGGCAAAGTACTTAAGATTTGCCGCATTTATGATAATAACGGCAAACGAGAGCTGAGGACCGAAATCGTCAGAAGGCGTGAAGTGATCGAAGCCTACGTNAGGGCAAAGATCTGAAGGACAAGAAGAGCGACACCACTCACAAGGAGTCGCTTAAAGGCAAAGTACTTAAGATTTGCCGCATTTATGATAATAACGGCAAACGAGAGCTGAGGACCGAAATCGTCAGAAGGCGTGAAGTGATCGAAGCCTACGTCCGGATCAGGAAAACAAAATCTCTGGAATTTATCAAACAATTGAATTTCGTCGGGAATGTCAGCGAAGACGGAAAGATTGGCACCAAATCCAAGTTAAAGGCCAAATGCACTGCCAATACAGTGGGCGCCAGTAAAGTGCCTCTAAAACCAGTGAACGGGTCAGTACTGAATGCAGTCAAAAGTGCCCAAAGGGTTACGAACGGCGAAACGCGCGGCGATTCATGCGATTACACAAACATTGATATCGACGACAGCGACGACTGGGATCTCGTGGAGACGACGGTCGGAGCGCAACAACCGCTGGTCAAAGTGGAGGGCAATAAACTCAAGTTCGCTAAACAAGTGGTGATTGAGGCGAACGAAATCGAGAACGAAGAACAGCGACGGATCAAAGAGGAAGAGGAGG